TGAGCAGTGCTCACAGCGAGTCCTATTCTGACAAACATTCGTAATCACGCCGACGTCTGTAACAGCGTTCGTGTGAGGTTTCCTTGTAGATATTGCCGGACTGTGTTAAATTTTGTTGAATTACGACATTGTCTGCACAAGGCCATGTCTGTTCGTCGGTTAGGCAAAGGTGCCTGTGTACTTCGACGTACCGTCAAAAATGTGACATTGGCTTGAGGAAAACCAATTGTTGGCCATTTAAGCTGTCCTCCTTATTCAATTGCATTTTCTGGCTTTAAATTAGCAGATTGCCAGTATAATGTTCTTTACATCTTTCACAGTTCCAGTACCTGTCTTATTATAGCCAGCCGCCCGTGCTTGTCCAGCTAAATGCCTTTGGGAGTTTTGCAGTCCATAATTTTTTCACGCATGTCAACAGAACCAGACACTGCATGATTAGCACGTATTCTCGCAAATAGTCGATTTGGTTTCACTGATTGATTATACCGAAACATGTTTTTTTCCTGTTTGTTACATTTCTTCTCGCATAACACGATTTTCTTCACTAGAATATTATAATTTGCGCATTAATTATGACGTGCTGCTGTGTCAAGATTCCAATTTGTGCTTACAAATGTAGCGCCACTGCGTGTACCACTGTGAAACCAGAAACAGTAACAGGTTGATTATGGCCTAGCTGCCTATTCTAACGGGATCCAATCGAAACCAGAGGTGGTGTGGCTTGAATTTGTTGTAGGCATATGCGAAGTATTCTACTGCTCACAAAAACGCGGCATGACCCTATTTAGAAGCATACTTTAACAGCTAAATGCTCCAGAACTTGCGTTTTCAACATTTACCTAAGTTTCTTGAAGTTCTTTGAATTCATCCCTATTTAATGTGTATAACGTGCTTGCAATTCAATCACATTGACTATACAAACCAGATAAAATATATGTTTAATTGCCGAAACAAACTCGGACTAGACTGGTGACATTCAATTATCTGCTGTCGTTTTGTTCGTTATTACGATTTGGCGTCCAATGGGCACTTGATTGCCTATGTGTGCGCGTGTGTGAGAGCATAGGACCTTCAAAAATGTACTTACAAGATAACTACCTAGCACAGAGCAGTAGATTAGCTTGCACTCACTCAACAATCGTGACATGTTGGCTTGCATAATTATCGTCAATATATGTTCTGTTGCTGGAATACCTCAAAATTATTGCGCGTTTTACACCTTAAGTAAAAGTGATTCATGCGAGGAATATTTGACGGAATGCACTTCGGGGAAAATTTTTGCAGAGCTATAGTCTAGAAAGCGAAATAGTTTTCCTTCTTTATTGTGAAATTGAAGGCTGCCGCAGCCGACGACAGTGATTGAAGAACAACTAAACTTCGAGCATTTCAATGATTGGCTTGGTGCCTTCTTACGTTTGCCGGTACCAGCAACAGACGCTCAGAGTACACGAATACCTTGTGAAAGTGTGGATCTCCGCGGTTTTAGCAGTATATGGACAAAGTCAAGTGACCATCAGGAGCGTCCATGTCAGAATGCCAAGTTTATGCGTTTGCTTGGGCGACACGTTATCAGTAATGGGTGAAGGGTAGATCAAGTGAACAGAGTTCCGTGTGAGCGTAGACTAGTGCTATCACCACGGTAGTGTCAGGTGAAGGTCATTTAGCCATCACAAATGTTAGCCTTGTAAAATTACTGACACTGGTCTATTTCCGCCACTCTTAAATTTCTGAAGACTCACGATTTCCTTTCACGGTGCTAAAGTACGATAGGTTGCGACCACTTTCATATTCAAGTTATCATTCACCGTGATAAACAGAAGAGAGCCAGTTCCTTTTTCTGCAACTTCAACAAGTCTTGCCAAAGTTAGCGTGACTTGTGCACACTGTCCTTACTTAGACCCGCGAAACCAATACAGTAGAATGGATTATTTTGCGCTCATCTATAAAAGTGCAGACATTTTGCATCTTAGGTAGGGAGAAAACGCAGCAATCATGAAGACGAAAAAGTTCTTGCATCTTTGCTTTCGCTTACATTCTTACCAATTCTTCACTGTGTCAAGAACAGCGCCTTGGTTGTAAAGTCCGTGAATCCTAACACCTCAATTCTATACCTTTACTTCCAGCGTTCCATTTTCACTTCTTATTAAAGATTCCTCCCACAATTAGCAGAATAATACACCTGCAATATTTTCTCTGTTCTAGTGTTTGATTTGATTCACCGCATTTCTTTCGGCTCTAGAACCTGACAGTCAACAAGCAGGCTTTCTCCGCGCGCACATTGACATACCATAAGTAGCGTTTAATCACTTTATATGGTCTATC